ATGTATAAGGGTGTAGTAGTAAAATACTCCAACGCCATTAATTTTTAGGGTTCTTTTCTTATTCTCAAAGCTATATATAACCTAGCTATCTAATAATAAACCATAACATTCTATTCTTCCGCGCTATTCCTTAGTCAAATAGGAAAATAAATATTATAAGATTATAAATACTACTTTTAATAAAATAATAAATATTAATACTGATAACATTAGGAAAAGAAAATATGAATAACCTAGAAACATAAAAATGACATAACTAAATTACTATTGTACCTATCTGCCATCGCTGAGAGCCTCTAACTCACCTTAAAATGCAAAAAGGGATATTGATCGGACTCAGCCTCTTTTAAGCATGTAAGATGCATATTCCGAGAAATAGTATATTAAGGTCCATGGACTTACAACAAATTGTTACTAGTACCATGCCTTTCTAAGATAGCAATTCAAACAAAAATCTTCATCTTTGAGAAAACTTCAGCCTTCCATAATATGCTACTAAAAAACTTCATTATGGCAACAGGAACTAAGGGTCATTGTCAATGGTACGCAAGAAGCATAAGAACCATATTGTAGTTCCAAATCTAGTGTCAAATCAAGATATAGATCCACGAGTTGACTTGCTTGAAACATTAATCAGGAACTTGGCTTTCCACATCCATAACCCATAAAGTTAGAATGTGATAGCAAAGCAGAGATCAACATTGCTTTGAACCTATGTTTATGTCAGAGAACTAACCACGTTGAAGTTGACTGTCATTTTATTCAAGAAAAATTTCTAGCAAATGTGATTCGGACTGCTTGTGTAAAGTCAAGATACCTAGCAGCCATGTTCACAAGATCCTAAAGAGGAACTTGTGTGAAATTATAACAAGCTTAGTACGTATGATATCTAATACTCCAACTTGAGGGAGAGTATTATGGTATAAAATACATTTTCTATTTAGTTGTTTTCCAATGTCATTTTTATATAATAAGTTTCTTGTTCATAATGTTAACTTTCTCGACAAAGGGATCATTAGAAATATACAATTTCTTTCTAACAAATAATGAAGTGACAATATTTTCAGTTAAAAATGCTATAAAATAGACATACCCTTGATGGGTAAAAACTATCACAGCATTTGAGCATAGTTGATACATATTAATCCCAAGATATCCCAAACATAAGTCTCATGGCTCACCTTAGCATTTAGCAAGTTTTCAAGACTATTTATGCTCCTATGTAAATTTATTTGACCAGAAGCACCTGAAAGAGCAGGTAATACATTGAAGATTGAGAAACTGTATAAGAAACAAGTAGAGAATTCCAAACATAAAATGTAAAACCTGTTAAGTCTTGTTCAAAGAGAAAACCCATTTAAGTCTATCAAGAAAATGACAGACATCTCATTGAAAAGGATTGCAACAACTAAAACTTTGATTTCCAATTCAGGACAAACTTCATTTGTAAAATGTATAAATGTGCCTTTTTTCAGTTGGCTTTTTCTTGCTTTCTCTTCTTTTTGTACAAAGGTGTTTATACCTATTAAGCTCTCAAAAACAAAAAATATATATGATAAATTTCCCAGCCTGAATGAGAGCAAGAGTAGACTAATTATTTTTTGGTGAATAGAAAAATGTTTTAGTTTACAAATGACGTACCAATTTATCATTGAATTAACATTTTGAGATAATTAATTCCTCAAATGTATCAAAGTAAGAAGCCTATCCTTGAATAATAGGAAGCCCAAATTCAGTAATATGTAGGTTCAGTTAATAGAAATGAATAGGTGCCAAAGATTGAATTCAACAATCAAGATTTAAATGCTCCGGCTAGTGTACAGTAGGGTAAATATTTTTTCCCATATAAAAGTTTCTACCTTACTGACTTTGTTTTGTATGGAAGACATCTTGATCAGCAGGTCATTCTCGGTCATACATTATTACAAGCATTTGACCAAATTAGAATATACGAACACCAGCTTCCAAATTAGACAAATTTGGAAGGTTAAATTCCACCCGTATATCTTTTTTTTGCATGGGAGGCCAGTGGGAAGTGTTTTTTTTTTAAATAAAGAGAATAAATAGTATTAAGTAAAGGCACCAAGAGGGTGCCACCCTCATACAAGAAATTTACAAATCAATTAGTATGTCTATGGCATTCTCAAAATCCACCACTCTATAAATGTCATTACCCAAAATTACAGACCCAAACATGTGTAACCATCTATCCCTAACCTTTGACATCTCCCCCTCACTCCCCTCAAAAA